CATTCAAACATACATATGTATATACGTATGTATGTAGGTACTCGTACCCGTCATGCGTCACTTTATTTCTCTTTTCGCCTTCCCTATACTACCTATATCTTTCTTCTCACTCATGAAACGTTTCAGTTTTAAAAATTTCACTCTCCAATTTTGCGATACCGCCGCCTAAGAAGTTTCACTTCAAAAATATATCTATATGTTTGTTCTGAAATTTTTATAACTTTGCAATTCTTGAATGTCAGTATTTCGAAAAAAGGCTGATAAGATTTTAGTGAAAATGGATTTTGGTTACGTAGGTGATATCAAACAAAGTTGTATTTTCAATTTTTGTCGTACGTTTTAGTGAACTTTTAACTAATTCAGGAACAGTGTGTATAACATAATTTATTAAATTAAAACCAATATAAAAATACGTAAAATGTTTAAAATGTAATCTAACTGCCTTACTATGTTTCATGAACGATAGGATAAACGAACGTTTCGTCTGCAGACGACAACATCTCTGATTGCGATTTTATTATTCTATCGATCGTCTTTGTCTTGCTTTTCATCGATTACGTGGCAATCGTCTCGTTTGTGTTTAAACCGACCAGAGTGATGTCGCCGGACTAATTTTTGAAGCATTCCTCTGCAGACGAATCGCTCGAATTGCCTATCGTTCGTGACACATAATAAGCAGGTTAATTATTTGTGTATCTATGTACATATGCACTCCGCGACGCCTGGGTTCAAACCCTGGTCAAAGCAACGTCGTAAAAAATATAGAAAAAGGTTTTTCTTAACAGCGGTCGTTCTTCGGCAGGCAATGGCAAACCTCCGAGTGTATTTCTGCCATGAAACACAGCTTCTCATAAAAATACAATCACCATTCGGAGTCGGCGTAAAACTGTAGGTCCTTCCGCTTTGTGTGACAACATCAAGGCGCACGCCACAAGTCTGGGGAGAAGCTCGACCAAAAACTAACTTATGTGTAAGCGCCAATCTATTATTATTATTATTTTTATGTACATATGCATATTCGTGAACTAAATCACGAAAATATTTAGTTTTGCAATCGCGGTTTATGAAATAAAAATGTGTATCATATTGGGTAAAAAGATTTAAAAAAATCTATATTTATTAAACATGTTTCGAGCTTGCGCAATATTGCTATCGCATCGCATTTCAGAGAAACCCCCTTTATGTTTGTTCATGTTTGCATAATATCAATGTGGTGAAATATTAAAAATAATGCAAAACTTTTATTTTATAGCATTTGTGTAACCGTCGTCGTTCTGAATGTTCATTTTCGTTCTCCACAAACACATCGTATGGCTCCTTGGGTGAAGTGCATTTTCGTTGATTTGCTTCCAAAATTTTTATTCATAAAAAGGCCAAAATACAACTTTGAAAGGTGAGTATTCAAACCGTAAGCCAATGCTAGTACAGTTTTGTTGCAGCTTCACACATTCTACACTCCAAAAATTTAAATAACTTCTTGATGGTTGAAACAAATTACGCCCCGTCGATAAATCTCGAAAAACCGGACCACAGATTACAATTTCAATTAATTGAGGGATTCACAACGGCGTCATAAGTATCGTATTGTTGTATGTCGTAAACTTTAAACGCCTAGGCCTATGTGAAGGCCTAAGAACGATAGAATTTACAACATGCCGTTTCTGGAACTTGAGCAGAGCAGCATAAGGTTTGCTGCTGATCCGAATGCTTATATACATACATATGTCAGTGGTGTACAACGTTGGCAGAGCTCCCAATACAATCGCAATATTTTTGTATCAGTACCCAGTAGAAGTCGGTTGTATGTATTCTTGAAGGATGCTTGCTATGTGAGTGAATTAGTGTGAACAATTCATGCATAGTCATGAATTTCCACGAATAAATTCAAATTCTAGCGAATTGCAAGCGATTGTACGTTGTCGTTGTTTTAAAAACATTTCTTGATAAATTTGAAGTGGAATTTTTGTAATATTTTCAGTCTTGTACAAAAATTTTAGTGAACGGACGTGTTGTGCGATATTATTTTCAGCACAAACGGGCTTATACAACATGTGCATTTGCATATGTAAGTGCTACTTATTTGTATGTCCCCGTATATTAGAATGTATCATAAAAGTAGCATTTACATATGGGGAGCTTGTCAGAATGCTTAAATACTCTTCCATTAATGCATTTTTGTATGTTTGAAACATTAATACAGCCATATGCATATAGCCATTAGCGCACACTAGGGGTGGGGTTTGGGGTTCAAACCCCCCCTAAAGCTAATAACCTCAAATGCAAACTGTATCTTGAAGCTAAGAATCCTGCTCTCAAGGAAATTATAAGAAATATTTATTATAATTTCTGTTGCTTGAAAAAGCGCTTCGCTTTTGCTGTAAATTTTCATGAGGAAATAAATATACGAGCATTTTTTTCTTGAGAGCTGCAAACTGATTTATGAAAATTTGGTGGTAGAAGAAAATTTCTTTTCCATTTCTCGTCCGTCGTTTTATATGAATTTTTCGTTTTTCTTGAGAGTTCAGTTAATTTTTTCGGAACTCGAAATATTAAAAAAATTTAGCAAAAATCACCATCTATCGAAAACCAGAAACCAGAAATCGAAAAAATGAACATAAAAGTGCAAAAATTCATGGAATCAATAAATTTATTTTTACTGACTCTTTTTTAAAATTTGTATTAGGTACTTTTGAAAGTTGAGCGCATCTTGAGTTTATAGAACTTTTTATTAAACAAGTAGTTTTTAAGGAAAGAACACAACCGACTTCAATTCTCATATACAAATTTAGGGGTACCGTTAATTTCTTCATGATCCAATCATCGGATCTCTAAACCAAATTACGGGACGACACTTGAGGTACCATCTTTCCAATAAAAAAAGGATTATTGAAATCGGTTCACGTGGTAAAAAAGTTATGTATTCCGGCGAATTGATAACCTCCCCTTTTTTGAAGTCGGTTAAAAGTGTTTGAGTTCTGTTAATCTTATGTAAATAAAGTGCAGTTTATGAATTTTAAAACGTTTATTTATTTATTACATACTGTACATAAAACTTGCATAAATGTATTTTAAAGAGCGTATTATCAAGCAAATTTTCAGTATTTCCCGGTGATATATCTTCAGAAATATAAAACCCCCTAAAATATATTCCTGGGTGCGCCCCTGCATACGGCAGTAGTACAAGTGTATGATTAAGGTACGCATACGCTCTGAGAAACCACGCGTGTTGAATGGAAATGAGGGTTAATTTATACTGGCATGTATACAAAGCAGCAAGCGCATGCTACCAACAGCGATGTTGTATGGTAAAGATTTCTACTGGGTATGTGAGTACTGAACAAAACAGATCGCGCAAGAGATGCTTACAGCATGAAGTACAAAGGCAAACCAAAAGCTCAACCAGTCAACGACGTAGCGTAGACGTAGGTTGACGCAGATACGATCTACCTTATGGGATTCGCGTGTTAACGAAAACTCACATGACGGTGACGTTGCCGTTTCTTCTCTCTCTCTCTATCAACAGTAAAGTTGATATGCTGCTACGTACGTGGACCTACCTTTACGCTACGTCGTTGACTAACTGCGCTTTAACCGGCTGCTAGCGGCGCATAAATTCGGTAGCGTCGCACACACGACTTGTACGTGAAAGCCGAGTGGCTCCCTGAGACTCCCGTGTGCACCACTGACATATGTATATATCTGCTCCAACGTCAGAAATCCTCTGCTAGCCGCCACAAGATGTCGCTGGAAATCCGAGTCCAGAACCCCGACATATATGTCGGAAATTCATAAAGTATGCTGGCATACATATATACATATATACTCCAACGTTAGAAATTCGTAGTGTGCTTATAGGCGTTAGAAATATACGTCAGAAATTCGTAAAGTGTGCTGACATACATATCGAGCCCTAACCGCCAAAGGGCGTTAGCGACCAAAAGTAAATTTTTCAGTAGGCGTTTTTATTATTAACACGGCAGTAATGCAGATAATAACCTGAAGGTCAATGAACAAGTTACGTAGGTATATAATACTGGTGATATTATTTGCCCATATTTAATGGAACAGGTGATTTTGTCGCTACGCCCTTGCATGGAAAAAAGTTGGATGCCTAAAAATATCAAAATATTTGCCATATAAATGGGTTTTCATTGTTTGAATTAGCATTCAATTTTTTGTTGAGCGGCCTTTAATCCCTTTCAACAGAGTTGGTCGCCAGCCAACATTTGCCCATTCAAATTTTTTAGCGTGCATCGCTGCGTTGAGTTGAACACAAATGTTGAACACAAAGTTGACCAATACAAACACTGCTTAACACTCAACCCCGTAAAAGTGCATGTTTTGCCTACTTATCCTTATCGGGATCACGTATTTCATAATACAGGCATTTTAAGCCACCTTCTGCTTTTCAGGCCAACCATCTCCCCAGACCATGCACCAAAGGGCAGAGGATGGGCCTTTTTTGCCTTATTGGAGTGCAATATTTTAAGAAACGAACACAGAATTTTCCTCTTCTACTAACTCTGTAAACTCGCTGAATGGGACGAGGGCGCCTTTAGTTAGCTCCGCAGTAACTATCAGCCGGGCTCCCGTTTCCGAATTCGCAAAAATTTTGCGTTTTAGTTGTCAAATCGCATAATTGCGCGCTCTCACAATCGTATATCGCAAAATTTTCGCGGTTTCAAATCGGAGACTTTAGACTTAGTGGAATGAAAAGTAAATGAAGTTGCACGCTTAAATAACCGATTTATAAAAGCTTGGACAATTTTTATTTATTAAAAGAAATTCTTAAGATACATTTCGCGTACTTAAAAATAAATATTATATTTAATTTATTTTTTAATTTAATATTTGCGGACCACATCACAAATTTTTCTGCAGCAAAATTGCCGAAACAACAACTGTTTGCGATTTGATTCAATCGATAAATCGATTAACTTCGCCAAATAATCGGTATGTAATTGAGGACGCCATTATTATTATTTGTTGAGAGGCGTTCTTGCACAGTATATTTCTTGGAAGAAAAAATATTTCTAATCAAAATGTAAGTATAATAAAT